CCTGTCAGGACTGACCCTCGTCCAGAGTCAAGTGTTGTAGTAAATTGTTGTTGACAGAAACTGAGTAACTTCCTAAAAATGGATGACTTTGGCATATTCATGTGACTTTTAGAGAATTCTAACAGTTCCTTAACATCCAGAGGTCTATTTCATTTAGAATTTTCTCCTGGGTACAGTTATTCTGTATTAATTGGTCAAATTGTGCCTTAACAGCTGCCCCAGAACAGGGGTCAGAACAGTTTCTGACCCGGGAAGAGGATTTCTAATATGGTCACAAGAGAATGAACCTCCATGCGGGCATTTTGTTGTTGAGTCTACGAGTGAAAGTCACTTTCATCAGCCTCCAAACATTCGTGTCGACGCATTGCCGAGACGTAGGGCTATGACCTGGCCGGATCTAACAAGCGCAACAGCAGGAAATCTGCTTTTCAGAAGATCTGCGGTGCAACATTTTTAGAGAGAAGAAGTATGGCTGGCAGGGTTAGGTAATTCTTGAATGAGAACCTATTCACACCAGCTCTCTAAAGCCGATTTCAAGATTGATAAGTGGGTTTTTTCCCAAATTGATATGCATAGACTTTAAGTGGCAATTAAATTTAATTTACAAGTAGGTTGTCGAGACTGCCGGTAGATCTGATATACGAATTGTATTCACTCTGTTTCATTTAAAAGCATGAAAGACTGGTAGTTAAATCTTCCAAAATGATGTGAGCGACCCAAACTAGAGGCTTTTTTGGCTCAACTCTTCACACAATAAACATTTGCCTCGATGGGAGGCTCAGCAGATTGTTCTCATAAAAAGCTGTGATGGTAGAAAATATGTCTACATAGTTGAGTCCTGCCACAAAATGGTTTATTTCTACAAATTAATCGGAACCATGAGCCTCAGTCCCCAGAACTTGCATTCCAGGGCTACAGTAATGAGATCACATCAGTTAAGAAAGTGGAAGTATTTAGTGAATTATGTCTCTTAAATTCAAAGGATTTTTGACTCGTTCTGGCCGGGTTCCTCCATGATGCAATTTATGTTGAAAAATGCTGGTGATACCGACACCCGTGCCTACAAACTGCAACGCTCAAAAGTGACGATTCTTAAAATCCTATCCATAGGGATACAAATCGTGGATATCCAGCTCCGGATGGAACCGGCACTCAAGGAAGCAGATTTCAATCCATTTCGCAGACATAAAAGTGCAGGACGAGAGGGAACACAAAAAAATGTCTGTCCAGGATTTGAGGATGCCTTCTAGGAAAGTCCATCTTTAACGAATCGGGTTTTTTTTATAACAATTGACAGTTCTTCAATTGACAGCCCATCAATTGCCTTTAGCTTAGTCCTGACCCAAAATTGTATACCAGTTCTAATATATATATATATATATATATAGCATTATTCTCATTACGAACACACAAAGTCTCTACACTCTCTGGGAAGGTGATGTGATTAACAGTGCAAACACGTTTTTCAGTGTACTATTTAGGATAGTGTATATCCAGCTAGGTTCATAATTAACTGATGTGTTTTCCTATGTTCGTGTGAAGAGCTTTGCACTTTCGAACTTGTGAATTAAGCGATAAGCAATACAAATGCATATTCGCAAATCTGTTCTATCCTTGTCGCAGGAATGAGGCAATCCCAATGCGTTTACACCTGGTGCCAGTTGATTTTCACACATTATCACATGTGTATGAATGGCAATACAAGTGTATGGTTGCTTATGTGTGCCTGGAGTGTGAACAACAATGTGTTTTAGCTATTTTGCATCGTCTGGCCAAAGCTTACCTCTCACTCTCGAAACATATTATCATGTATTTATGCAATAATACGGTATATTATTATAATAAGTAATGTATTAGTAATAACCGATTATCACGTCAATTACATGTAACCTAATATCTTTGTTTATGTGCATGGACGCTTGGGTAGTGGATAAATTTCGTCCACCGACCTCCAGAGGTTCAGCAAACGACGGAAAAGGTGCCAACCCTAAATTAATTGCCATTTATTCACTCTGTGACCCTCACTAAGCTGTGCCAAATCGGACTATAATTGATCCGTGCATCTCTAAGGTCCTGTACCTTTCAGCTAACAGGAGTCTGGGTCACCTCCTAGCGGACTGTCAATCAGGAACAAGAAGGACTGCGGCAGTCTTGCTTCTTGTCTGGTG